CAGGAGGAACATCCGTGTGTCGTCTCACTTACTGATGCATTCACTGCTTGGTTCTTGCTTGTGCCGACTGGGGATCAAACCTGGAACCCTGGCGTACTGCGGTGCTGCACTAACCAGCTGAGCTCCCTGGCCAGGGCGGTTCCTTCCTAAGGAAGGCTTCGGGCCCAGCCTTGCTGGGACGAGAAGATGCGGGATCTTGGGTGGGAATGAGAGCAAAGTGCAGAGAAGTGTCCACACTGACAGGCTCGGGCGTCAAGGCCTTTACTTCTCTTCTCTCAGTCAAAGCAACTAAGTTGGGAGTAAAATTGAACAATTTTCGTGTATTCGCTTCAGAGGGTACTCTGAGCAGAAGTCTCTGACATCCGTGGCAGTATTTGCGCTGTCATTATTGCTGTTATTCTAAGCTGGTGAGCCGTGGCCTGTCACCATGGGAGCGGCTGTGATGCAGCCGAAGTGCCCCCCTGCAGGCCTTGGAGGGGCAGCGAGGGCCATGGAGGAGCAGCGAGGGCCATGGAGGAGCAGAGAGGGCTCTGGAGGAGCAGTGATAGCCCTGGAGGAGCAGAGAGGGCCCTGGAGGAGCAGGGAGGGCCCTGGAGGAGCAGGGAGGGCCCCAGTGGGGAGAGCAGGGCTGTGCTGCTTACATGGCCTGCAGTTTGGCTACAACTGACTTGCTGGTCACCTGACAATCAGAATGCAAGGATCTCTAGGAGGACAGTGAGCAGTACCAGCCGCTGGCCATGAGCAGTGGGAAGGCTGGGCAGTAGGAAGGCTGGGCGGCAGAGAGGCTGGACAAGGGAAGGCTGGGAGGTGGGAAGGCTGGGCAAGGGAAGGCTGGCAGAGACGGGCCTGGCCTCATGCTTCAGTGCCCGCCCAGCAGGAGCCTGGCCCTGTGAGTGCGGAGGGCCACCTCCTGGGAGCTGTGCGGCTCCGCTCCCTGGCTGCTGCGGGCAGGGCTGCGTGGACCCACAAGCGTTGTTGTTGTTGTTGTTGTTGTTGTCCTGGCTGTACAAGAGGAAACTGAGGTTCGGCAAGGCTGGGGCTCCTGAGGGCGCACACTGGCCAATGGAAAACTCAGCATTTAAGCACCAGAATCCTTCTTACAAGGGCCATGTAAGAACGTCTGAGTTCTAAGAAAATGGCACAACAGACATGTACGTGATGGGGTTGACATCACAGGAGCGGCATGGCGTTGTGGGGACGGTGAAGGGAGGAGCCTGGCCTCCGGGAGAGGACCGCCCGCTGCTGGGCCCAGCTCTCGGGCATCGTCGCTGCCTGGAGCCAGCAGCCTGGCTGCACCCCCGCCCTGCCACCTCGGAGCTGGGCCCCTTGGGGAGGTTGCTCACCCTCTCTGTGCCTCCGTCACACACCTCATAAGTGAGGAACCTGGCCAGGGCCCTTCTCCATGAGGCGACAGGTGGATGGTGATGGTACAGGTTCACCAGTGAGCGCCGGTGCAAAGCCAGCTGCGCCGGCAGAGCACGTGCTCCTTAACCAGCCGCCACTGCGAGCTGGGAAGGCGTGTGCTCCCGCTCCTCCCTCCTCTTCCTTCCCCGTGGAACGCTGAGAGTCATAACCGGACGCAGTGGAGAAGCCAGGTCGCCGAAAGCGGTGTGGCTCAGTGGATAGAGCTTCGGCCTGCAGACTGAAGGGTCCCAGGTTTGATTCCGGTCAAGGGCATGTACCTTGGTTGCAGGCACATCCCCAGTGTGAGGTGTGCAGGAGGCAGCTGGTCGATGTTTCTCTCTCATTGATGTTTCTCTCTATCCCTCTCCCTTCCTCTCTGTAAAAAATCAATAAAATATATATTTTTTTTAAAAAAAGGAAAAAAAAAGAAACCAGTCTCTTGCTGGGTTTTTGCCTGAAAACACAAAATGCCTTTGCCACCGCCCAGGACGCCCTGCAGGGTAGCCTGGCCTTCACGCTCAGCTGGCTTTTCTCCAGCACCCATGGAGCTGCCCACCCCCGTGGTGCCACCCCCCCATCTCCAGCGGTGCCAGCACCGGCCCCTGCCCCAACAGCTAGCGGGGGGGGGGGGGGGGGGGGGGGGGCTTGGGCTGTGCCTCTCCAATCTGCCTGTCGGGCCGGGGAGTGGTTTGGTCTGGCTGGTCCCGGGCATCTGGGCCGGAGGAGGCCGCCCTGCGCCAGGGGCTGTGTGGCTTGGCCGCAGGTGTTCCCGCCGCCCTGCGTGACTGCTGGTCTCTCATGGGCCCAGGAGGGGCAGAGGTATAAGAACCACCTCTGTCTGCTCCGGGAGGTGCCCCCACCCACAGCCACCTCAGAGCGCTGCCTCCGCACTGGCACAGGAGGCGGGCAGGGAGGGCAGCCCCTGGGGAGGACGGACAGGGAGGGTCTGAGCAGGAGCAAGTGCTGATCTGACAGATCACATCCATCTCTGGACTCCGTTTTCCCAGCGATGGCATCTGGGGTGGCCCTCCCGGCCAGGGGCAGAGGGGGGGTGGCTGGTGTGACCACTGGTCCAGTCATGGCACACCCCCCCCTCCACAGAGACAGCAGGTGTGAGTGACACACTGGCCCCCTGAGCAGTAGGGGCGGTGTGGCCACCACCGTCCCCTCCTGGCCCTTGCCTGGGCCTGTGCCCCGGGGACAGGGTATGGAAGCGGGACCCCCGCCGCCTCGCTGCCGCTCATCTCGTCCTCCAAATGGCCACACCATCTCTAAAGGCCTTGGAAATGGCCACCTGCAAGTGTGTCTCCCTCTCAGGACCCGGGAGAGGGTAACTGTCCTCCTGTAGCTGCTCCGAGGAGCCAGGTGTGAGGTGCCCGAGGCAGCCCCGGGGGGTTGGGCCCTGACTGCTCCCCTTTGCACCCTGTCTGCACCGTCCTCTGGGACACGGACGACAGAGCCTCCAGCCCGGGGCAGCCGAGGCTGCACAAAGCCCGCAGAGGAGTTATTTTCCTTGGTCCTCGCTCGGTGCTAATAGACGGTTCGTTAAATGGCTATTTTTTTAAAGACACACAGGCCCTGGAGCCTCTCCCAATCCAATAGCCGTTGCTATTTAAGTCTGCCCCAGCAGCCCACGGTTTGGGGTTTGAGTGGGGCCCTCCATCCATGGTGCTGGGTGCTCCCTCGAGCTCCTCGCAGGGACACACGCCCCCCTGGCCCCAGCCCGGAGGCCTCTGGGGTGCAGCGAGGGGTGCCGGGGTGTGTGGGGAAGGCCAGGAGGGCCAGGGAGGTGAGGCCTCGGGGGGGAAAATCCAAGGAAGCCCGGGTCCCCGGGCGAGGTGGGAGAGGAGCAGGGACACCCTGGGTGACGGGCTGAATGTCTGTGTGCCCTAAAACTCACAGGCTGGAGCCTAACCTCCCAGGGCGTCTGCATCGGGAGATGGGACTTCTGAGGAAGCAGTCCAGGTTAAACGAGGACACAAACATCGGGCCCTAATCTGGTCCGATTAGTGTTCTTAAAAGAAGAGATTCAAGCCCCGGTGGGTTTGGCTCAGTGGACAGAGCATCAGCCCCGGACCGAAGGGGCCCATGTTCGATTCTGGTCAAGGGCATGCACCTCGGTTGCAGGCTCCATCCTGGCCCTGGTCAGGGCCCAAGTAGGAGGCAACCAATAGATGTGTCTCACATCAATGCTTCTCTCTCTGTCTCTCCCCCTCCCTTCCACTCTCTCTAAAGATCAATGGAAAAGTATCCTTGGGTGAGGATTAACAACTAAAAGAAGGAACTCAAGAGATCTCCTCTCCTTCTCCCTGGACCCTACACACACACACATACACACACACACACACACACACACACACACACACACACACACACGGGCCATGTGAAGACATGGCGAGAAGGAAGCCGCCCTCACCAGGACCAGAGCCGCCAGAGGCCTGAGAAGTGAGTGTCTGCTGTCTCAGCGCCTGGTCGGTGGCATTTGGTTGTAACAACACAAGCAGATGAGACGTCCTGTGTTTCCTGGACGCTTCCCGGGCCCCCTTCATTCCTCCAGGGCCCCTCGCCCTGCCCCCACTGCCACTCACTGCGAGTCAGCCTCCTGCTGCAGGGTCGCCCAAGCCCTGCACCCAGGTGGGGGCTGCTGTGGTCTCAGGAGGTCCTCGTGGTGGTGGCGGTGGTGGCAGCAGGACCTAGGGATCATTGCTCCAGCCATGAGAATCCAAGGGTTTCTGGGGCTTAAAATAAACCAGCAGTAACTTCCCAGAGAGTGAAGCAACGTGTTACAGCTGGGAGGCCACTGGGGAGGCCTGAGCGGCCAGTCTGCTTCGTGGGGTGCTCCTGAGAATGACCAAACCAGCTTAGGGCCTCGTCCAAAGGGTCAGGGACATCCTAGGTCCATGAGGCCCATAGTGTACAGTGTAGTGTTCTCAGGCCTAGACCAAGCATGTCAAAGTCGAGGCCCGAGGGCCACATGGGGCCCACGATGAATATTCCCGCAGCCCAGCCAATATAACGGCGTGGGCAGTTATTTACAATTATGAAAGGAAATAAGTCTCCTGTCAGATCCAGAATCACCTACATTCATTCACCTTGGGGCAGTTTTGAAAGTAATCACTGCGAACAGGATTTCCCTCCGAGTAGGAAAGAGAGTAGCAAGAAGAGAGGAAGAAAACACTGATTTTATCGTTGCTCTGGGGTGTTTTTCAAACTATACTTTTCGAATAAACCTACGGTCCCATGAAAATGGAAACTTTTGCTTTTCTGCAGTCCACATAAACTTCAACCTTGTTCATTTGTCCCGTGTCAGCCTTTGAGTTTGACATGCTTGCTGTAGACACTCGAGATCATATTACTCAGCTTTCTTCCCTCCCCGGCCAATTCAAGGTAGGCCCCTCATTAGCATAACATTTTCCTATTTCTGCAAATCTCCCTTGGCTGGGCGGAAAATTCTTGAGTCGGTGCAAGGCACCAGGCACACCATAAAACCCGTCCCTTCCACTGATCCATCTTCCACTTCACCTCCCCGGGGAGCTCAGAGGGCCCTGGGGAGAGGGCCTGGCAGGGTGGGCGGTTGAGTTACAAACAGGAAAGGCTTGCTGAGGGATGTGTTTTTAATGAGAACGCGTTGTTATGCCGTGAGCATGTGGCATTCCTGCTGAGTGAAAACATTTACAAGAACACGTACACATGTATATCCAAACACCGAGTGAAGCAGGTACGTGAAAGGGCCAGTTTGTGCCAGAAATAAAATACATTGTACAAAACAGGGGTTATATCCACAGTCGTTAATTCTCATTTTCTACACAACACAACAATAAATTAAATCACATTATATGCAGATAGTCCTACTTACATAAGAATCAGAAACCGTATGTAGCGTGTGCCACTGTTGCTCTGACTGGCTACTGGACTCGTGGGGAGGGCCGTACTGTTTGGTGGTCCTGTGTTTACGTTAACGGAGAACAACACGGCCCGGAAGATAAGGGACCCTCCCCCGTGTCCGGACCGTGCCCGCTCTGTGTCACTACCCGCCAGGCACGGGGGACAGAGCTCAGATTCCCAGGCCCCAGCACAACCGTCTGCACACTCGCCGCCTCTCCTGGCCACCTCGGGCACCGCGTGGCCACCTGGCCAGGAAGGCCCGCCACCTTGAACGCGCTCAGCTTGGGAACTGAATGGTGCAGAGGACACCCTGCTTCCAAACCCAGCGTTCCCTGCCTCTGCCCCCTGGCCCTGCGCTGTGACAGCGGCTCCACGTCCCCGTGAGAAGCCGGCCGTGGGCTCCGCCGCGGCCTCCCCTGGGTGACTGCTGCGGGGAAATGTGGGTCTTCACTCCCGAGTCAGAGCAATGCAGCACTTTTTGCTAAATCTTAATTCTGCGTGTTCGAGTCTCTCCCTCCGGAGGCACGCTGCGGCCGGCCCGTTGGACGGCGAGGACGGCGAGGACGGCGAGGATGTCGTGTGGGTTTTCACTCCGGAGGCCCGCTCCCACGGAGCCCTGCCCCAGGTCTGAAGCAGCTAAGACAGGAAGGCGGACAGCACCAGCCGGCGCGGCACTGCTCTGCCTCGGGCAGGAATGAGCGTTAGTGGTTAAAGAGAAATCTGGGCCCGCTCCTCCCGGCACCTCGGAAAGCTGTTTCAATCCCGGAGTCTTGCTGCGGGGTGCGCCTGGGGAGGCGCCTGGGTGTGTGGGAGACCGGCCCCTGGAAACGGAGCCGGGCTTGTTGGCCTGTAAGCTCTTCCCAGCCTAGAAGGCCCCGCGCCTGTGGGCAAGTTAACGTAGGGCTCCGGCTGCCAGCCCGCGGGGGACTCGCTCTGCGTGCTCAGAGCCAGCCTGGGCACCGGCTCCCCGGGGAGGTGTGGGGTCCCTCTGCGGCCGCTGCGGGAGGAAGGAGCGGGAAGACGAGGCGGTTTGTGATTGTACCTTCTGCTCCTTTCAAGGAATCCCGCTCCCGAGTCTTGTGCCGGGTGTGGCCTGCGCTCCTGGCTGAGCCTGGCCCTCGAAGAGGACAGAATCCCCGGCTTGTCCGCACTTCCAGAGACACCCCAACAAGGCACACGCCTCCTCCTTCCCTCTGTGGCCACCCTGCCCTCAGACACACGCCCTGGGCTCAGAGAACCTCGCTTTCCCTGAGGAAGGCCAGTCCACCATCAGCTTCCTCAGGAGGCCCTGGGCCCAGCGCATCACCCAACCGCCCCCGGCACACAGTCTGGCACTTGGCTTCCTGCCCACATCCAGGCAGCGGCCAAGTCCTTTGTGCCCCAGGAAACAGGTATGCGGGCCTTTCCTTTCAGAAACACTCCCTTCATGCACGGCCTCGTATCCTATGTGGTTTCCTACGGAGACTTCCACCAACAGCCACCGTGTCCTCCCGAGGGGGCGCCACGGGGACCCCCCTCCTGAATTCCAGTCCCTGCGTGAGACCCACACAACGGCCTCCGTCTCACTGCCAACGGCCTGTCTCGCCCTCCGGAACCCAGCGCCGGACAGGAGGAAAGTGGGAAATTGGGGGCAAAGAGGGCACGGGGGCCTGGAAGAAGGCCATGACCCCGGCAGCCTGGGAATAAGGGAGCAGTGTCTGCACATGGAGTCTCAGCATTTCAGGAATTCATCCCCATACGATTCTCCCCTCCCTCCGTGCGATGCTGCTCCTGACAGGCGGAGAGCTGCCTTCAAAGCCAGCGGGGCCGTGTCTGCGGCTCAGGAAGGGGCACGCTGACGGTGTTTCCAAGAAACACGATGTTTACAGGGGATTCCTCGCGGAACCTGCGGTCGGGGTGGGGGAGGGCGCGCCCTCCGTACGGAGAGTGTTTTCTGGATGGAAGCGGTCCTCTGAGTCCAGGCAAACCACCCGAGAAGGTGGCAATGATGAGCCGTAAAAGCTACACTGGCTCCCAACACCGTGAGCGCACGCGGAAAGGCTAGACCTTGACCGGCATCCACGCAGGCCGACACTGAGCCAGCGGGCACTGCCCTCTTTCTAAACTGAACGCCCTGGGCTTCGGGGGAAACTGTGCTCATATAGAACGGTTTAAGAACCAAAGCCCCGTTCGCCTGACTGCGCGATAGGTGGCTCCTGGCAGAGGATAAGTGACTAGCTGTCAAAGATGTTGCTTAGCAGTTAGGAACTTAACTCCCAAACTTCAATCTCCACAGCTCTGGGCCCAGGGTCATCGTGGGCCAAACACCGACACTTTCTGCAAAGGTTTCCAACCGAATGGAGTTTTCCAAAACCTACGAGAGTTCAAGGCAGAACGGGTGGACGGCAGACATCAGCAGTCCATCTTAAGAGCCCTCGGTCTGCTTTAAGATGGAAGAGAATGGCATCCACAGATGAGGAACCTCATGATTTCCTCTGCCGTTTTTAAAAGACTGCAATTCTCACTCATTTTTACAATCTTACCTGGGGACATGATAATATTAACTTCAGAACTACTCCTCTACCTAAAGTAGAGATAAAAGGTAGTCGCTTTAGCAGTGTGAGTTAATGGGACCCTCTGTCGATTATGGAACGGTTAGAAATGTTTAGACCCAAAGACTGCAACCAGGTAGAGTGTTCCCCCTCACCCCCTCCAAATAAGCACATGGGCTCAGAGCCCAATGTCTCTTTACAAACACACGATAAAAGAAGATGAGCATCTCTAAGAGACATGACGAACACCACTGAAAAATAAGAACCAGAGAGAAGTCAGTTCTCCGTTCATAAAAACAAAGTGGGATCAAGCCTTTGCTGTGCGGAGGCCTGAGCTGTTCCTCGCTTCGCTTCTCTGGCTTTCACTTCCCCGGCTCTCTTCCTGCGCTGGGCTTTCTGGAGCTTGCCTCGCTTGCTTTCTTTTTCCATCCTTTTTTAACTTAGTGCTTTTTTCTCTGCATCCAACATGGAGAACGACAACGCCGTTGCTCCAGTTGATCATCCTTATTTCTCTGATCACGTTCTCCAGCTGCCTGCATCGCATTTGTAAGCCATAAAGGGGACATGTGCCTCCCCCAGGAAGAATCCGTGCCCTTTGACCTTCGGGAGGAGGAGTGACAGGGGCCAGCTCCTCCAGGAAGCCAGGTAGGACCAACTGCCAAGACACGCTTCCACGCATCTGCCTCCGCCCTCACCTGTTCGAGCTACGACCGCCGCCACTTCTGAGGAACTGCTCAGACTCCACTATCGGCCTCCCTGCACATGGTCTTTCACAGACATTAAGATGATGTCTAAACCTATTTTCCGGATGCTCCAAATGTTATCAAGGACAGAGTGACCTGATTACAAGGCGGTATGCTAGCTAACCCAGCAATGTCCCATTCTGTCCTCACCGTCCATTGTCCCCACAAATCATAAAATGACGGCCTGAATTTAAACCTGGGTGCAATGAAGCAATTCAGTAAATACTTATTCAACTTTGTCCAAATTCCTTATATCCACACCCACAACCACCGTTATCAGACTACTGGTGGATGACTACAAAACCCTGTGGGATTAACTGAGAAGGAATAGAGTCGCTAGTTAGATTCCCTCTTTTAACCCCAATCATCACTGTAAATTTTGGTAAGATGCCTTGTATTTATCATTTCTGTGTTTACTTTCAAGTTCTAACTCTCTTATCAAGTTCTTCTTGAGGAAAAAGAGCTGCCTCCCCTTATGAAATCCTACTAAATTCTAGTACATTTCCCTCTTGATCCTGAAACTCATCATCTAGCCGGCATTGGAAGGGATCTATATCCCTAAAATAACTTGCATTTAAAACAAGCAAATGAATGTGCTCCTGCAGAGTGCAATCAGAAGACAGGGCTCTGTGATTAAAGCAGCAGTTTGCATTTGGGCCTGGCCAGGGGAAAAAGGACGGGGGGCGGGGGGGGGGGGGGGGGGGGGGGGGGAGAGAAGCATCTTTCATCACTGTTGTACCCATGCTTTTCAAATATAAGTGAAATTTAATCTTCAAAATGAAAAAATAGACACATTATCTAATAGCAAAATATAAGATCAAAATACTTAAAAATAAGATGTTAGTGCGAAATAGGGCTTTGCTTTTTTTACATTTTTAAAAAAATGAAACATTTCAGATTTGCTTTTCTTGTATAAAGCCTCTTATCTCAGTAATAGTTACAACTGTCCAGAGCAGCTTTTAGGAGACACTGAAGGAGACAGGAGGAAATCCTTTCTCAAGAGAGGAAGTCGGCACCTGAATGTATACATTGGACAGCGCTAGAGAGAGGTGCGAGCGTTACTTCCCACCTTGAGATTTTTCGTTCCATGTTCCTTTTCTTGGGTGTTCCATTCTTCCTAGGAATATTCTACTTGTAAAAATGATTTTATTCTAGCCACAAAACGTTTCACTTGAGAAAACCCCATTTTTATAGCCTTTGTGTGAAATGCCCCAAAAGCCATCAAGACTGGGAGACACCAGGTTCTCAAACCATAAAGCCAGTCAGTGGGCCCGGCTAACAGGTGACATTATATTCTGGCATTTTCTTGTCCTTAGATGAAAGGCCCTGAGGCATCTGATGGCAGATAACAGTTCCTGAGCTTCTAAAGAAATCTTACAACGAAATGGCTAAATGCTGAAAAGAATGAGTTCTTCAAGAGCACTCCTCCGTTCCATTCAGGTCTTTCATCCCATCAATCTCCCCCAAGAATCTCGGGCCGAGAGAAAAGGCTTCCCTTTTAAGCCACCGAAAAGTGGGATCTGATGGAATCTTCCCGAAGCTCCCGGTGTTTCCCGACATTACTTTCTTCCGGCTGGCTTCGTCTCTCAATGGTTATTCTGTATTTCTTCCTGGGGAAAGGGAAAGGGAATGCAGTAATAAAACCTCCTTTGGCCACACAATACTATGGTTCCTCTCACAAAGCATGCCCCCGGGGGACATCTGAGTTGGGGTTGATAAATGAGAAGTGACAGAGTATGAAACCCGGGTCAGAGATTAAAGCAGAGCGCCCCGAGGCGCCCTGCCCTCATTCAGGGAGGGAAGTTGGCCCGCTTTCCGAAATGCCACAGAACAAGCCCTCCCCTTCTTCCCTGGGCGCCTGGTGGGCTCGGCTTGTCTGTGGGGCCACAGAAGCGCTCCCGACTCCCAGGACGGCCCCAGATAAAGATCGGGTTACATGCCCTGAGCCAAGGGAACAGGAATACAATTGTTCCCACACAGAGCCACACACACCCTGAGCTCCATTTCCAAGCAGAAATGAAGAAATTGTGGTCTCATGGCTTTAAGAATAAGCCACCAACTCAACCACCAAAGATTACAAAGGAACAGGGTGCCCTTATGGTGTGAAACTGTCGGTATCTTGGACACAGAGAAATAATACACTTTTACAAGCCGGGGGGCCTAACCACAGTGGTAACCAAGGACGCTGGGTCTCCAAATACTCAGCGCCCACCAGCCTGAGAGCACGGACCACTCGGAGCTGCCACCTCCTCCTCTTCAGAAGGTGAAGCCTGAGAACGAGCCATCTATGTCCCTCTGCCCAGATTCCCTCTCCACGGACACACTGAGTGCGGGTGCGGGGAAGGGATTCGGGTCAGAGTGTCTGTCATCGGAGGAGAGCAGCCTCTGCGGCCCACAGGGCAATGCAGCAGGACCCCCTGCGCCTCTCCCTGGCATGCTAGCCGGCTGATCACCAAACCGCCCTCACCCACCCGAGGGGTTCTTCCCACCGCCATGCTTTTGGGCTCATCATGCAAAGGCAAGTGACAAAGGCAATAATAGAGTGAATTTTTAAACCTTATTGCAAGGTCCTGACCTGAAAAAGTAGAAAGCCATTAGCAGACCAGCTCCTAGTAAGGCCCCCACCACAATTCCTGTGACTGCTGACTCTTCTAGGCCACCTGCTTGAGAGAGAAATAGAGTGTCAGAGTTCAGGGAGAAAAGTCTCATCCTAACCTTTCTTTTTTTGAATGGTAAGAGCACATATTTATCTTCCCCATCACATACAGAATATTGGCAAATATTCATCACATTCTAGACCATAAAGGATGTCTCAGTACATTTCCATAAGAGATGTCATTCAAACCCTGATTTCGTCCATCCTTCCATTCATGGAAAAGCTTGGTTCTCTGGACAGTGTTTCTTGATTTCCCGCTTGAGAACATGTTCCTTTCTTTTTAAGAAAGATTCCCAGGGGATCCTGCACGTTTCCTAAGAAGCACTGGAGAGCACGCTAGCTGCTACAGGCCAGTGGGAAGAAGGCCGGCTCAGTTTCAGATCCAGCTGCATTGTGTGAGTTCACAGTCAGACAGGCAACTGCAGAGCCCATGGAGCTGACCCACGCACCCTCCCCAGGTGCGTGGAGACACGCCAACGCCTGGAAGCTTTGGTGAAAAATCCACTGGGCTAATTATTGCTTGTCTCATTTTCGATTCTTATAAGTGTATTTCTAATATCACATGATCTCACTCATCTAGGGGAAATGATGAACAACATAGCATGATGAACAAGAACAGACCAGGAGACAAGGAAGCATGGATCAGACTGTCAAACCTCAGAGGGAAGGCAGGGGAGGGTGGGGATAAGGCAGAGAAATTAACCAAAGGACTGTGTGCATGCATATGAGCCTAACCAGTGGTCATGGACAACAGGGGTGTGGGGGCATACATGGGAAGGGGGTTGGGATGGGAATGGTGGGAAGAGGACAAATATGTGATACCTTAATCAATAAAGAATTTTTTTAATGATAAAATAAAAAATTAATTTAAAAAATAAAACTCTAAAAAAAAAAAATCACTGGGCTAACTTTCTGTTTTCAGAGGTTCCCTCGCCAAAGCCAGAGTTTCCTGTCCAAATGCCCTACCTGGCTCTGTGAAAACATGAGTACAGCAGAAACAATCGAGTACAGGGGTGTCCCAGCTATTATACAAGAATGACAAAGAGCTAGCTTGTCTACAAAGAGTTCAGGGTACAGCCTTCAGTCCATCATCTTGTTTAATTCAGCCTTAAGAGTGGGGCAGATGCCCTTCATTTTCCATTTGGGAAAACTGAGGCTTGAAGAAACTCAGGAATGCCCTTTTAGGCCACGAAACCAGTAAGTGACAAGGGTGAGACTTCAGATCCAGGCCCCATAACTCAGAGACCGCGTTCCTACTCACTCCTGCCTCACTCCCCGGAATTACCGCCTCCGCATGAACACCCCACAGACTGAAGGCTGCTCCCCAAACACAGTGTGCATGCCTCCGTTAGCACCAGGGACCGAGTGGCCTCCAGGACGGCTGCTAACTCAGTTCTCCCTCCCTGGCCTATAAAAGAAAGGGGAGAGGTCTTCTAAAGCAGTGACTTCCAACGCTGGTCCTGCCTGTGAGCTCCTTATGAGAAGCTTCTCTGGCTTGTGTGTATGACAGGCCATTCATCAATAGCAGCTTCGACCCTCGGTCCCCAGTTTGTAATCCGAGGGTGTGGAAGGAACCTCATCTGTTTGGCTCTGAGGGGTCGGAGGAAACAGCCAACTTTGAAAGTCAGCATGAGACTTGCTACGCGGGATGAGGAAGTGGACGGCGTCTATTATTTGGTGTCTTGATTTTCTCTAAAATAGGAACTCTCGTACCCAATGCCATTTCCTTCTTCATCTCTCACAGCAAGCCTCCTTCTGATTTTCAGAGTGAGATTACAGTGAGAGTCGGGCAAGCAGGGAGAAGGCTTCTGCCAGTTTTGGAAACGGACAGAAGAGAAGAAAGACCTAGAAGCTTCTGGGGAAGGTGGGGCGCCGGTTTGTGAGCTGTTTCTGTGGGTCTGACCGCCTCAGAAGAGAACTCTGAGCTTTCAGAAGCCGGGCTCCGGATCACACATCTAACCCCGCGTTGCATCACGCACACCGGCACTGAGGAGCAGGGGTCCTGCCCCTGGACTTACACGCCTTGCAGGGGGCGCCGCCGCTGTGCCCCGCCAGCCCGGGCTCCTCCAGCCGCAGCTTCAGGGGGCCCCACGGATACTTGACGTTGGGCCGCATCTCAAAGCGACCTTCCTTCCCGAAGTAATCGCCGATCACCTGCTCCAGGGCCAGAACACAAGTGCATCAGCTGAGAGGTCAAAGTCACTGTCTCCCAGGAGGCGCAGGGCCAGGTGCCCCCCCCCCCCCCCCCCCCCCGTTTCGCTTGACAGTGTCTGCGGACTTTGAGTCAGATTTATAGCCGCCCGGGTGCCCTGCAGCTGAGCGTCCCTGAAGGGGGACTGTGGCTCCCGAGGCAAGGCGGCCGGTTACACAGGGAGCAGCCATCTCCGATTCCCGGCTTTTCCCTTGCTGACCCCAGGCTGCTGTCCTCCCCCCCCCCCCCCCAGCAGCCCCGTGGCCGGCCCCTCCGAAGGCCCGCGCTCTTGGGGCTGGGAGGCCAGGTCTGCCCAGGCCCCACACCGCTCAGCGGGCCGCACACCCCCCTGAGGTGGGGACGGCATTCTCCTGGCTGAGGAGCTACCCTGTTTGCACCTTGTTTCCAGGAGGAAAGCTTCTTTGACTAACCCCTCTGGCTCCCAGAAAATCACTGTTCTTTTCTCCCAGGGTCTCTCTCCGTGTCAGGTTTCAGTGACTCTCCTCGGCTCCTGGGCCCTGATCCAGAGGCACCTCCCTCCCGGGACTTCTCTCTCCTGTCACCAGCCCACTCCGCCGAGTGGCTGTCCCTTTTGAGGGGTGCAGCCGGCTCCCCAGGCTGTTCACGATGGGCCCTGAGACCCTACAAAGCACCTCACACACTGTCACCTGCATCCCCACATGATGACCCTCCCTTACGAATACTGCCAGACCCAGACCAGGCCACGCAGCAGATCCCACCAGGAATGCTGCATGTCTGTATAATCCTTATTTATACACTTACTAGAGGCCCAGCACGTGAAATTCGTGCAGGGTAGGACCTCCCAGCCCTGGCTGCCTTCGCAGCCCCTGCTGCTGGGACCCTTGCCACCCCAGCTGCCTCACGGCCCTCAGCCCTGCCCCCTGCTCACACCGCCTCGGCCTGGCATTGCCCGAATCCACCGCCGCACACCCCCAGCTCCCAGTTCCACAAAGCACCCCCCCACCACCATTGATCGCCTCCCAGCCTGTGGCTGGACCTCCCTCTGCAGGGCGATCATGGGGCGATGGCAGCCCCTCCCCCCTCCCCCGACCAGTCTCATCGTGCCCGCCTTGGCTGGCCTGGCGCCCGTGCGTGTCATAGTGTGGTCATCTGGACAGTCGTTCTGCTGTTCAGCCATTGGGTCAATTTGCATATTAACTTTTATTTCTATAGACCATCTAAAGTTGTGTGGTACTTTTCTAGGTCTCATATCATTCGGGGCTCATAATCATGACAGAGCAAGGAAGATCTGATTTCTAGGTGACAGCCCAGGAAACTGAGGCAGAGAGCTCCCTCCCAGCGAGGGTCAGAGCCCCATCTTGGCATCCAGGGTGCTCTTTCCGCTCCAAGATGCTGTCCAGAGACACCACCGTCTGGACATGTTAACCATTGTCCAGTTTGTAGGCCCCTTTTCCCACCCAAACTAATTCCAGTTGTAAAGGAGGAGGAATACACTGCCGCCCTTCACCTCTCTCCTCCATATCCCTCCCGCATCACAGGACTGAGCTGGGCTTGATGGCCGCTTAGAAGGAACGACGTCCCCACTTGCGGTAAGCGGGGGACTGTTTCTGGAAGCTTCCCTGATCTCTCCACCGACGTGAGCCCCCCTTGGAAACCCCGAGTGTGGGGCTCATTCTCATTCGGGGGCTGCGTGGGGGCAGCTATTCAGACTCCGGGAGGAACACATTCCTTGGGACCCTAACGGGCAGGAGAGCAGGCCGCAGCCTCCCTGCTTACCTCCTGGGTGCCCGCCTCTGCGTCCGTCATGGCGATCACCGAGAAGTCCCCGTACCGGTCCCCGTTCGTGTCTATGGACACCTGCCCGGCGATGCCTGGGGGGACACAGAGGAGCCGGGCTGGTTACTGAGAGCCCTGAGCCAGCCACTGCGAGGCCTGGCGGAGGGGCTGGGGCAGCGGCCTCCGGCGCCGGGGGCCTCGGCAGACGCGGGTTTGTGCTGGCCGCGGGAGACATTGTAACTCCATCGCGTCTGCATTCCTAAATTCCTCGCATTTCTCCCTTCGAAAACGAAAAGGAAAGGAAATAAATGACCTTCTTTGAGAAATATGTGTGTGTGTTCTTCAAGAAGACTGAGGCTAGTCCTGAAAGCAGCATGCTTACCCCAGAGTTTTCTATTAAAGTAAAACGAAAGCCAACTGCCAGGCAGGAGACGTGGAGGTGTGGCCGGTTTCTGGACTTGTCACGGGTTCGTGTTATCACTGGACACGCGTCATCAGAGAAACCCTATTCCACGTGCTCCGTCCCGACCACGCTGGTGTGCGGGTCGGGAGCACCTGGTGTGCGGGCTGGGAGCACCTGGTGTGCGGGCCGGGAGCAGCTGGTATGGGCCGGGAGCACCTGGTGCGGGCCGGGAGCAGCTGGTGTGGGCGGGAAGCACCTGGTGTGCGGGCCGGGAGAACCTGGTGCGGGCCAGGAACACCTGGTGTGGGCCCTAGGAGCACCTGGTGTGCGGGCCGGGAGCACCTGGTGCGGGCCGGGAGCACCTGGTGTGCGGGGCCAGGAACACCTGGTGTGCGGGCCGGGAGCACCTGGTGTGCGGGCTGGGAGCACCTGGTGCGGGCCGGGAGCACCTGGTGTGCGGGGCCAGGAACACCTGGCGTGCGGGCCGGGAGCACCTGGCCCAGTCCTGGGAGCTGAGAGTGAAGGAGGAGTTCGTCTTTCTCCCACCGTCTTCCTTCGCTCTTCTGTCTGTCTGGGCGAGTGTCTTCCGGATTTATCAAGATGTAACTGACACTCATCACTGTGTGAGCTTTGTAAAGCGCAGGCTCACATGTACTGTGAAAGGATCGGCCACTCTGCACTGTCCCACAGAGACACAACACGCCATTCACTGTTGCCCACGTTTTCCCCGTGACGGCCGGGCGTTGGCTGTCATGCTGCTGCGGAGGCAAAGGTGGATGGGACACATTCTCCACCCAAGAGGGGCGGCCCGAGGAGGGATTCAGCCTGAGGGACCCAGAGGTGTGCACTCGGACCCCAGCTCTCATGCTTACAAGCCCCGAGACCGTGAGCAAGGCCTTTGCCGTGAGACTCCGTCTCTAGGACCAGGAGAGTCCTCAGTGCCTCCCGGCCACAGGCTGGTGACGAGATGACGCAGGCAAAGCCCTTTCCGCGCAGGTTGAAGAGAAGTTGGCTGCTTTCCTCTGTTGTCATCGCCACCATTGCCGGGCCCGGACCTGGGAGAGGACCCCTGGCAGTGCCCGCACCACCCGGAGGAGGAGGCCCAGGGGAATCGCCGTGGGGGAAGCCCAGGATTGGGGCAAGCAGCCATCAGAGAGGGCGGGGGTGTCTGAGCAGAAAAGCTGGCCTTGTCAGCATTTACAGAGGCGCCGACGTTGGAAGGAGGCAGAGTGGCCGTGAGGTTTCTGGGAGAGGGCCCGTGTGCATGGAAGGGCACAGAGAGAAAGGCTGGAACAGAGTGCCCGGAGTACGGAGAGCCCCGAGTGCCCACAGGAGAGACTGAATTCACTTTGGCAAGCAACGGTGGCTTATGGCCACAATCAATCCAAGCCAGTATGTCTCATTAGTTAATACTAAAGGTCTATTTGTAATTTTCCTTCACTAAATAATAGAGTGCATATATCTATCAGCTACAGGCTAAGTCACTAAGGCTATTTATTTTCCTTTATTTCAGACTGTGGCAGAGTTCAGTGTAATTCCTAATTGGTGTTTCCATTGATCTGGTTCCCTCCGGAAGCGAAGTGAGTGTCTGGGCAAAGGGACCCCAGGGGAAAGTTCCATCCTCAAGTGCGGTTTGGAGAGGACAAGTGTTTGGGTTTACTGTCCTCGGGTTGTGGTTTGAAGGCCTGCCGCTTTTTCCAGACTTTGGTCTACTTTGCCAGAAACAGAATGGAGTTACCATTCATCTGAATGTTTTGTCTTCTTAATATAGACTGGTTACAAAGGGTACACCCACCTCGAACTTGTTTATCCTTGACAGACTATAACTTTTAAGTAACGCCATTTAAAAAAAAATTTATATATATATATATATATATATATATATATATATATATATATATATAGATAGATAGATAGATAGATAAATTTTTTTTTAAACATATTGGTTATCCAGAACCTTCCAAACATATTGGTGATCCAGAACCTTCCTCTATTTTTTTCGGAGGGGTGTGTGATAGTGTGTTCTCTAAGTGTTTTTGCAGAGTGTCCTCTGAGACCAGGTGGCCCCGGGATCCCAGCACCTCATTACGCTTGAAGCGATTACAATTCTGCCAAGGAAGGAGGAGAGCCCTCAAGGCAGCCGATTAGCAAGTGAGGCCTCACCTGAGAGTGTGGTACCTGAGGTGAGAGGGTCAGGCCGAGGCAGAACTTTCCTGTAGAATTCCTGAGACATCCCCTCCTCATTCCCATGGGCCTGTAGTGGAGCTCAAGGTCAGAGCCACAGTCCTATTTACCTTGTCACTCTGACCTCTCACACAGAGAGCAATTTAGCTTCTTCCCAGGCCACGGTTAAGAGTTGGTCCTAGGTTTCTCGGTAATAAAATCTAAATTTGTCAAGTAACATCCAGAGTACTTTTCCCTTAAGAACTTAATGGTCACTTACGGTGACCATTAAAATGAAAATTAGTTTTAAATTTAGAAAGGTTAAAGTTGTTCTTAGAGGTCTTTTGGGGGCTCCCCTCAGCTCAGTCGCTGCTTCGCAAAGAGAATGGAAACTTACCTTGGCTTCCATTGCCTCTGCGTTTGGAAAAGTGAGATTCTGCGTCTGAGCAGAACTATACAGCTGACTGTTCTAGAACGCATTTCCTATTGCCTGTGTAGACCTGGCCCTAGAATGGAAGATCAAGATAGCCTATGGGAAAATTCAGTTCATGCCCTCTGAATAAAACTGAATCCCAGCCATTCCCTTAGCAACCTCCCTCAGAAGACCGAGAACAAACGGCCACACCACATAGTGAGGAATAGCTAAGACCGGGATGTGGCCTACCAAGATTGTGTCCACACACACACACACACCAGTTTCTCAGTGTGTTGGGCACAACTTCTGGAAAATTTGACTCTGTCCTAATATGCCCCCTGAATGATCCTACTTAGTTCCAGCTCCCAGCTAAGGCAGTCTAAGGTTGAGCAAGACAATCCTGGAGGCCTATTTGTTCACGTCCCACAATCTGCCAAAAGACAATCAGATGTCACTCCAGTTTTGAGTAAGATGTGGCATTCACGAAGGCCACCAAGGAGCAATGAAACCTACCACTTGTCACCATAGCTAAGGCCAGGACAATGGTAGATGGAACATGACCCCTTTGCACTGCTCCCACCCTCCTAATAACTGAGAACAGAATGAGACAGTGGAGTGGATATGAGTCCCAACTGAAAAAAAAAAAAAAAAAAAAAAAAAAGTGTGTGCTTCTAATCTAGGCTTGGAAGTACTTGTTCCCATCATTGAAAATGTCCTTAGTTAGATTGCAAATACATACAGGCCTAGCCCCGATGCATTCAAGGACTCAAAGAAAGAGTTAGCATGATGCAAAACTAAAAGGATTCTTCTCAGTCATCAACCAGTCCAACCCCCAAGGTTTAGGTGATGGAGAAGTCCAAGGGCCTGAGGGTGGAGTCCATGACTAGGATGCAGGTTTTCTGGCCCAGCGATCTGTACTGTATGGTAGTGGTTCTCACATGGTACCCATTAGCGTACTATGGTTTATTTTCCACACAGGCCCCATAGGAGCTCTTTTAAACACTCAAGACAGATCATATTCTTCAAACCACTCCGGTGGCTTTCCATCTCACTCAGGGTGGAACCCAAAGCCCTTAGTGCAGCTTCCAGGTCCGTGGGATCGAGCCCCGGCTCCCTCCCTGACTTTGGCTCCTGTTACACTGCCTCTCACATGCTGTTTCAGCCTCCTTGCCTGCCTGGGGGCACTCAGAACTGTCCCACAGATACACTCACGGTCTCTGCATTTGCTGCTCCCTCTGGAATGTTCTCTCATGTGCTTGATTTCTTTCCTTTCCTTCAGGACTCTACTCACCTGCCACTTACCAGAGAGACCTCCCCTAATCACTCTATTTAAATTAATAGCCCCACATGACACGTTCTAGCTCTCTGTCCTGCTTTATTTCATAGTCCCTGAAATGGCGTGTCTATTTGTTTCTCACCGGTTAACCCCACTACCATGGAAGCCCATATTGTTGCAGGGAATGTCTTTAGCTCATTGCTAAATCCTCAGCACCTTGAAGAGGGCCTGGCACACAGAAAGTGCTCAAGAACATTTGATGAGTGAATGAGTGAGTGACTATGAAGTTGATAACTGCAGGGATCGTGTTGGGTCTCGTGTTGATTTTCTCTGTGTGCTGGTGAGGCCAGAGGAAGCCAGCACTCTATACACCGTTGGCAAGAATATAGGCTAGCAGACCTTTCCAGAAGACATTTGTCAATATCTATTGACTAGGTGCCAGTGCACGAATTCGTGCATCTTGAAAGTAACTGTGGGCCGTGAGGCTATGGTGGGCACAGGGTTAGGTCTGGCCTATCATCTGAGCCCCCACCTGGGCCCCCTGCTCGCCTGCTCCACCATCCCACCATGGCAGATGCCCACCATGTTCCTCGCTTTGCTGCCTGCCGCCAATGCCCACCATGTTCTGTGCGCACCCCCTGGTGTTGAGCACACATCATAGCAGCCAGTTGTTTAGTTGTTCCACCGTTCGGTCTATTTGCATATTAGAATTTCATATCTATAAATATCCCACAACTAGAAATATTCCCTGTTGGACATACTCACAGAAATGAGTATGTCTTAAGACAAGTAAGATGCATAACAGCAAAAACTATAAACAGCTGGAGTGTCCATCAACAGGAGTTGGTTAAAGAAGTTTTTGTACAGCCGTATGGTGGAAAATGATGGAACTATCATTGAAAAATGTGCTGAATCTGTGAGTACTCATATGGGACATTTCTGACATGCAAGATAAAAAAGCTATGATAAGGAATGGTATTCATGGCATGACCCTTTTGTATAAATTTTTCAAATATAATTCAAATGCATATCTGCTGGCAGGAGACAAAATATTTTTAAGCCGAATCACAGGGAATTGTTAATAGTGATCACAGGGCGGGGAGGAAAACTTTCACTTTTCATTTTGTGCCTTCTTGGACTGTTTGAATTCTCCAGCCAAGAATAGTCTCATTCCTGTACAATTTTTAAATGTCAACAGAAGTTGCTTGAGTGATGAGAGAATGGGCCATTTTTTTGGTTGTTAAGAAAGCCACAGCTAATAGTCATCATTTTTAAAAAAAATAAAATAAAAGTGAGGGCTTACCAGACCTGCTCATCATCCCGAACCACTCAGGTTTGAACAGAGAAATGTGTATCTGGGATCTTTCATTTTCAAACTGACTACAAAACTCTTTGCAGACTGGTGGTTTGTTGTGAATGAGGCTTGCGATGAATTTGATTTTAAGAAACATGGAGTTGTTGCCCAACAATCAGAAGCAGATAAGCCACTTGCCATTTCGGTGGGACTCTTTCAAAGCACTTGCACATGCTTCACCTCATTGAACTTTCACAGCCAGCCTGTGGGCCGGCCTGATTTGGACTCACCATCCTTCCTGCACAGCTGAGGAAAGCAAGGTCCCATGGCTGTGGGAGCGAAACAGAACCAGCAGAGAAGCAGCTCCGGGAGCTTCGCAGCGCCATCGACAGAAACACTGATTCCTCACCTTCGAAGGTCCTGTTCCAGGTCTGCTGGATGATCTTGCCGCCGTCCTTCTTGCTGAAGCCGGCCCGGAGCACCTCGTGCAGAGCCAGCGCGTAGAGCAGGATGGCGTCATGGAACCCTTCCACGAACATGTTCACCTGGAAGGAAACCCGGGCGAGTGAGACCGAACGCCGAGTGACTCACGTCGAGGAACCAGGCCTGCGAGCATGGCAGAGGCGCAGCGGAGGAGAATGGTGGCATGGTTTTCCTGGCCCTGGCTCAGGGAGGAAAACCTCTCCCCGGTTTAGGAATGTGGAAAGCAGGCCAGATAGGACGGAATTTGGAAAACCTGTGCCTGTTGGTTGGCTAGGTGTCACATCCCAGGTGCGTCAGCCTTCGCCCTGGTTCCCTCCACACAGGTGCCCTCCTCCCCCACCTTGCCCTCTGCCTCCAGCCCCCCTCCCCCTGGAGATTCTCTCCGCCTTCCCAGCCCCGCTGCTCTCCCCAGGCTCCGAATTTGGAACGGAACTGAAAGAATGGCAGGGGCCCATGCACACATATTCAAATACCACTGAATGCCTACCCGAGTGCTCAGGATGCCAAGAGGAACTGCTGTGTCCTTCCTACCTGCCGCCACTTACGTTCTCTGTTCTAGCAGCAGTGACATCTTCGCTTCTCTCTCTGGTTTGTGTTGAGTGGTTTCAGTGCATCTCGGGACCCCCAGCCCCACTCCCTGCCGAGCCCCAAGGACAGGAAGGAGAGGCCTGGCTCCGGGAAGGAAGCCCTAGCCCCCAGGACACTCAGAGCTCCCTGGGAATGCGGGGAATTCGCTGAAACCCCTGGAGCCTATTCCCTTCTACAAGCAGCGTTTTTTACGTCCTCATACCGCCCGTAAGCCCACTGTGGCATTCAATAAACATGAAACGAGCACATACGATCCTGGAACACGGAGTAGCTCACAAACCTTCTTTTTACAAACGTACAAAGAAAAGCCGAGCCTTATTCCGGGAGACAGCGTCAGGACGGAAGACCGTGCAGCAGAACGCTCAGGGCATCCTGTGGACGGAGGACCCCGCTGAGGCTCTGGAGGCTGTTCCCTGCCCCGCCCCCAGTGAAATACAAAAACATCCACGGAGCACACAGTGCAACATCCAGCTCTACTGGGCTTCCTCCCCCCCAAAGGGCCGATACAGTCGTGTTTGTCTCCCAGAAGCAAGTATTTGAGATGTGACCGAGCCTACTGCTGAGAGGCAGGGTGGAATAATCGTAGGGAGCCTGGCTTCGCCGCTTCCTAGCTGTGTTTCTCCACTATCCCCCCCAGTTTCTCCATCTGGAGGATGGGGAGCTAGTCATACCGATCTTAGGGAGGGTGCCGTTGTGTGTAAACAAATCCACAGGTGTAAAAAGTCAGTATTCACTGTTAGTGTTTGTCATTGTTGTCCAGAGATAGAGAATTATAAAGCGAGGGGTCCTGGTTAGCTTCTAATAGCTAGTAGTGGTATTAATTAACTTATTGGTATAACATATCTTATTGACTCATTTCATACTTAACGGAAACTAAGGCTCTTCCTTCATGCTTTGACACCCCAACTAGTTCTCTTCCTTCCTCAATGTCCGGTCCTTGACTCTGTCCAAGTACGATGGACGCAGCCCAAGCTGGTCAATGGCACTGAGCCCCGGGGGTGGGTGGAGGATGGGAAAGAGTGCTGGCTCACCGGAGAGCTCTGAATCAGCAGCTGGACCCGAAATCTAATCCTAACCCCGACTCATTATTTCATGTCTCTGATCTTCAGTTTCCTCATTAATGGGGTTTAGCACCTATTCATCTCGTAGAGCTCTTCTGGGGAATAAATGAATGAGGGCATGTAAGACCTCTAACACAATTCCTGGGACCATGAAAGCAAATAGCAGACAATGGCTCTTGCTCTGAGCCGCCACGCTGAAGTCTCAGAGTCATTATTTTCTTAGGCAAAGCAGAATGTGTAGAAATAACATCTAGCAGTCAAAGATAATTTTCTGCTGATTCGGCTATGCTAATTAAATTTTCCAAAGGAATATGAAATTTTCACTTAGACCATGAAGTCACTGTGGCTTGAGAAAGTACGCACACTGATGAGTTAATGAGCTTTAATAAGTGAACTTTGGCTGTGTAGCTTCGTTCTCAGGCCACCAAACATATTTTTTCAAAAGCTCTTTCTCCTCTTTGATAATTAGACGCACCCCAGCCTGCTGCAGAGGGAAGGCACAGCGTCGTGGAACATGGAAGACGCAAGGTGCTCGGAAAAACTCTGGGCTGGTCCTCTCCTGACTGTGGAGACCAAAAGGGCATCGTCCCTCACCCTCAACCGTCCTGAGGGCTGTTCCCTTCATTCTCCTTGTTCCTGGGGAGCCAAGGCAACCCCATTTCAACTGTCAAGTACCTCCATCACTCTTCTTCCTCCTCTGACACCTTCCCAAAATCCTCACCCAAAGCCATCATAACACCCACCTACTGTTGGCCACCTTAAACATTGGCCATGCCCCCAGCACCACCCTCATATGACTCTTCCCCTTCCTTCCTTCTTTTTTTAAATAGATCTTTATTGATTTCAGAGAGAGAGATAGAAACATCAATAATGAGAGAGAATCATCAGACAGCTGCCTCCTGCACACCCCACACTGGGGATTAAGCCTGCAACCCGGGCCTGTGCCCTGACTGGGAATCGAACTCTGACCTCCTGGTTCACAGGTCAACGCTCAACCACTGAGCCCTGCCAGCTGGGCCTCCTCTTTCTTGATAGGCCCTCTGTGCTGCCCCCTCCACAGCGCAGGGTGGAAAGAACGATCGTCTAGCTGAGAAACATGAAACTGTGTTAATTTTTCTTTCCAGGCTTAACGGTAGAAGATAATAGATTGGTTCTAAACCCATGTCCAGGTCTGAAAACCCGTTCTATCCTGATTTTCAAACAGACTGAAAGTTGTACTTCCTTTCTTTTAAAGTAGCAGAGTGTCTCCCTCTGCTGCCAAAATCATCAGGGGAGCTGCTGACCCCACCGAGGTTCACTGGCACCCCAACCTGCTGCGGAGGAGTTCACAACACCTACCTCAGAGGCCCTCCAGCCAGAAGCAAAGCCCTGGAGACCTGCTTTTCTGCAGGAGAACATTCTCACATCCATATGTGTTCTTAAGTAGGAGGAAAGCCCATTAGCACGTTATAGACGCTGCAAATCCGAAGTGCAAATTTTTTAAAAATAAGGGAGGAAAAAAGTGCAGTCTTCAGTTGCCTTTGGAACAGTTTCCACTGGACCTCCAGGCTAAAAGGAAGTAGGTCATCTGGTCTGCCCACACCCCGCCTCTGTCAGAACAGCACCTGGACCTCAGAGTCCTGACGGGCAGACTGCACGACCTCTCCAGTAGTTAGCATCCTTTTAGCCAGAAAGCCCCTCCTGACTGTCATTAGCCGTAAGCCTTCATTACAGTCCTAAATGCGGCCAGCCCTGCTAGGTGTTGAACAAACAGAGAGAACAATGCAATTCAAGAGCCCTGGGAACTTAGGGTCTCGACCAAACGGTGTCATAGCTCATACGGACACACACAGGGTCACAGCTCCACGTGGACACAACCAGGGTCACAGTTCCACATGGACACAACCAGGGTCACAGCTCTACACGGACACACACAGGGTCACAGCTCCACACGGACACACACAGGTCACAGCTCCACATGGACACAACCAGGGTCACAGCTCTACACGGACACACACAGGGTCACAGCTCCACACGGACACACACAGGGTCACAGCTCCACACGGACACACACAGGTCACAGATCCATATGGACATGGACACGCAGAGGGGGTCTGCCCAAGGCGGTGGGAAAGCGGACCACCATGGGGGACAAGCCCCAGGGCGATCCCTATCGTGCTGTGCATCATTCCAACAAGATGGAAATCACGCCCCATCTCCCACTCATCCCGGGAACTGTGCCAGGACAGGGCTGCATGCTGGCATTACCTCCCCCATCATTTCACCTCCGTTCTCTTGATTTTCCCCCTGGAGCTGGCCAGTGGCAGGTATGCCAAATGGAAGAATGCCATCTTTGCCACCGGCCTGTCTCTCTGATTGCACTTGTCAGCCATGCCTATTTATTAGTGCGTGTTTTTCACCTCTCGTGGGGAAAGTCGAATAGAAATCCTGCTATTTTTTTTTTTTAACTGAGCATAAAGAGTGACCATTCATGACATGGCTCCCATCGGTGACAGGAGTGCCATCCTTCTCATTTCTCCTTGGGGAGGCAAGCTTGTAGAGGAATTCCTCAATGTTTGTGTTCCAAGCAAGTAAGCCAAGACACTGCCTGTCTCAGCGGTTCTGTGCAGTTATAGTGAAGAACACAGAAGTAATCCACCGCCCAGGCCGCCTGGGTATTGGAGACAGCCTGCAATGCTCCCCCAGAGCGTCCCAGCAGAAAGCTACCTAAGCTCAGTGCAAGGCGAGGCTGCCCGCAGGTCTTGCCTGTGGTACTCAATGGACTCAAGCATGTCACAGGATGGCTCTGCCTTCCTTCCCATAAACTAATGGTTCCCGAAGCAAATAAGGAAAGTGGAGAGTTGGGCAGCATATCTCAAGAGTCTTTTGTCTTTTTTAAATATACCTTTGTTGATTTCAGAGAGAAAGGAAGAGGGAGAGAGTGATAGAAACATCAGTGATGAGAGGGAATCATTGATTGGCTGCCTCCTGCATGCCCCTCCCTGGGGATTGAGCCTTCCCTGAACCACCTCACTCCACAAGCTCCCTGATGTGCCAGCCTGGCGGGAGGCCTGTGAGTGCCCCTGGGACCGCTCCTGCCTCTGCTACAGGAAGATGGCACCCAGGGGGCTGTCACCTGTCACTCCCTGCTCCTCCCACTGCCTCCAGCAGGCCATCTTGCTCTCTTTAATGTCCTGTAAGCTGGGGGAGGAAACCATGGAGTGTGTTACAGCTGTACTTGAAGTGGGGCAGTGGTTCTGAGTGCGGGTTTGACAGAGCCCCTGTGACAAAGCTAACAGAGCATCTGCCCGTTGTCACGGCGCCACACCCTTTCTCACACTCTCCTCTGCTCCTGACCGGGGCCCACAAAGTGAGATCGCCAAACAAATGGGTTCAGGGGCGATGCTAAGGGAAAAACTTCTGTTGGCACAAGG